AAATGTGATTTTAAGATTTTTAAAAATGCATTTTTACTGGATTATCTCCCTTTGTATCATAGAAATTGACGTATTTTGCTAAATGTTATAGTGCTTTTGAAAAAAAAACACTTACATTTCCAAAATTATCTACAGAATACCTTTCTTAAATTCATTGATTTATTGAGAGAAAATGTAAATTTAGGCATATTTAGATTAGAATTTTAGAATGTACTACAATGAGACCCCAGCAAGTTTATGAGCTAAAATGAATTATTAAGTATTCCAATTGATAAAACATAGGGAGTTATCTTTATATTTTTAATGGACCAAAGGCTAGACAATTTTAAAACTACGTACTTTTTATGCTTTTCTGAAAATATTTTTTTATTGGATTATCTCCCTGGGAATAATCCACAAACTGTTTCTCGTGAATTCAAGTACTGATGAGTTAATAAAGCCTCAACACTTTATTTTAACCCCAGACTGTAACTACTTGTTAACTGTAAAAAGATCTATATCCATTTATCAGTAAAATACGTAAAAGGGAAATAAATATTTAATTAATGAAGATTTTTTACAATTTTTTGCATTTTTTACAAGTATCTTGAAAACTACAATCTATAGATAGAAACTTTAAAAAGCAAGAAAAAATAGATTTACAATTATTTCGTAGAAAGAAACAGTTAAATACATGAGATGAGTTTAATTTTGACGAGTTAACTCTAGTAAAAATATGACAGCACAAGTTATTTTAGAGGCCTGTTTTTATAATTAGATTTCTTTGTAATATCCCCTTGGTTATATAAAAATCAATGTTATGGTGACTATAATTTGTTAGCTATCTACACCTTGCTAGATTATTGCTCTTTAAAAAAAAACCCTTAAAAACAACATGGATATACAGATTGATTTTTTATTTTTTTTTCAGAAATTGCAAATTTTGACATTTTTAAACAGAATCATAGAAAAAAATCACAATCAGTTTTTTTGGTCTAAACATTCACTTATTACACCTTGGTATGCTTTGTTTTATATTTTACTTTATGAAAACAAAAGAAATATCGAAACACTTATAATGTATCAAGAGCAGAATGCTTAATTTGAAGAAAAAATAGTTATTTTTTAAAGATTTTTTACTGAATTATCCCCTTTTGTACAATAGAAAATCAATATTTATGGCTTCATTTATTGTATTAGTATTATCTTCATTGTTAGTTTAACTTACATTGATAAGTATAATAATGGTTTTCACGGAAGCGTAATAGGGTCTTCCTTTTTATTTTTTTTTTTTCAAATTGTCGACATTAATCTTGGAATTATCAACTTTAATCTTAAAAATGACTGATATATTACTTCTAGTCCATAGTTTATTGTGTTTCTCCGTATACTTATTCTAATTATAATTATTTTCTCAGCTACTTTTTTTGTAAAATGTTACAGAAAAATAGACGTGTATCTAAAGTTTTGTATAGTTTCACGTAGCCTAATATCCATGAAAAAAGGGAGGGGGGTGGCTGTAACTTCCCAATAATGGGTATACGTGGATATGCCCAAAATATTGGCCATAATTTTTCGAGATTTTATATTTATGACGCTACTTTTTAATGACATTCTATATTGATGTGTATAGTTCTTTCATAATTTTATATTGATTTGGGGCATGTTCTACATATCTTTTATAAATATGTTATGGAAATTTTATATTAATGGCCAATTGTGGTATTTGAATCAATCAGGGACTTTATATATACATTAAAATATTGTACACAAGTAAAGGTCATTCTTTGTACATATTTTATTACATATATGTGACTAGCCATGACATATCCAGACTTATGGAGGTAGAACATCATTGTGAGAAAAACGTGGTTAACTATATGTGACTAGCCACTTCCAGGCTAAAGAGGGTGCATTGTCTGAAATTTGCTTTTTGTTTATTTATCTAGAATATTCGAAACAAAACTCTCTGTCATGTTATTATGACATATTTGTTGTAATAGCAATGAAACGAGTCATTTCGAATACCGGTATGAAAATGACTGTTTTATGACGACTTTAATTTATTGATGGCACTAATTTATAAAGTACAAAATCATTGTATTTATTGGCGCTTAGTAATGTTTAATAGAGTATTTGAGTAAAATTCAAAGAATTAAATTCACTACAATACAAACAATTCTTAGCTCTATTATAGAACATGTAATTTAAACTTGTTGAAATGAAGTTAGTTTAAAATTTGTCAAAGTAAGCTTTAAGAATTCCTTTCTTTAAATTTGTCTTTTAATTTAGATTTATTACGCATGTCTCTATACATAGTATGCGACGCGTAACAGTTTATAAGTAGGTGTTCTCTTATATGCATTTGATACGGTGCATTTATTATGGATAAATTTCAGACTCCATCTATGAAAGAAAATCTATAGAGCAGAGATTTTTTTTTTTGTATCAATTTAAAATGTAGATTCAAATATTTTTCACTTCAAACGATAACGTAAAACTTCTTCGAAACTTATATATGATTTATAGTTCGGCGTCCGCAAAAAAGAAGTTAAGGTAAAGTGTTTATCTCTTCTTCACAAATACGTATTCCATTGAATCTCGATATTTATCATGTTTATAATTTTTCTAACAATGTCGTGCTACCTCCATAAGCCTGGAAATGTCATGGCGGGTCACAATTTTTATAATAAATAAAGGTACCAAATATTAGTTAATATTATATAAAAATAGGTATATTATTTTAGGTCCTAAATGTTCTTCAACTTTGTACTTGTTTGGCACAAACTATTTTGATCTGAGCGTCACTGATGAGTCTTATGTAGACGAAACGCGCGTCTGGCGTATTAAATTATAAGCATGGTACCTTTAATGACTATTTAGACAAACATAGCACATCACTACCGAAAAAATTCAACTTTAATCTTGGAATTTCCAACTTTAATCTTGAAATTATCAACTTTAATCTTGGAATTATCAACATTAAAGTTGGAATTTCCAAGTTTAATGTTGATAATTCCAAGATTTAAGTTGATAATTCCGATTAAAGTTGGAAATTTCAAGATTAAAGTTGATAGTTCCAAGATTAAAATTGATAATTCCAAGATTAAAGCTGGAAATTCCAAGATTAAAGTTGATAATTCCAAGATTAAAGTCGACAATTTGAAAAAAAATAATAAAAAAATGACGGCCCTAATACGCTTCCGCAGGTTTTAAAAAAGTAAAATTTATATATTTCCAAAATTATCTACAGATTGATATTTAAAATTCATTGATTCTGTAAGAGAAATTGTAAATTTTGACATTATTAAAGGAAAATTCTAAAAAGTACTAAAACAAGAGTCAACCAATCGTATATGCTAAAATGCGTTCTTAACTCTGTCACTTAAAATATATTTTAATGGACAGAGAGCTGGTAAGTTTACAAAAATGTGATTTTAAGATTTTTAAAAATGTATTTTTACTGGATTATCTCCCTTTGTATCATAGAAATTGACGTATTTTGTTAAATGTTATAGTGCTTTTGAAAAAAAACACTTACATTTCCAAAATTATCTACAGAATACCTTTCTTAAATTCATTGATTTATTGAGAGAAAATGTAAATTTAGGCATATTTAGATTAGAATTTTAGAATGTACTACAATGAGACCCCAGCAAGTTTATGAGCTAAAATGAATTATTAAGTATTCCAATTGATAAAACATAGGGAGTTATCTTTATATTTTTAATGGACCAAAGGCTAGACAATTTTAAAACTACGTACTTTTTATGCTTTTCTGAAAATATTTTTTTATTTGATTATCTCCCTGGGAATAATCCACAAACTGTTTCTCGTGAATTCAAGTACTGATGAGTTAATAAAGCCTCAACACTTCATTATTCAATAAATCATCGTTCTTCATCTCGTTATTTTCTGCATTCATAAGTTTCAGGGTGTTGAAATTGGTCATTTGCATAGAAAAATACTGCCTCCAACTGGGGAAACTGGTTCCCGGTACATTACAGCATCTCCTTACTGAAAGGCATAGGAATCAGCTGAAATATTTGATTTATGGACTTCTTTCATAACGTTGTTGAAGCACACAAATTTTCAATTAAATCTGATGCCCCCCCCCCCCCCCCCCCCCCCCCCCTTGTGGACTGTTTTGCATGGTTTTATGGTAGACTGGGTGTTAAAACCATACTAAATATTATTGTTATATACATATGCATATTCACGGTTCTACAATCTATCGATTATCATATTTTGTTATATGTTTCTCTGCTATGAATCGATCTGGTGAGTTAAGCCCTTTTCAACTGATTTTTATAGTTTGTTCTTATTTTGTACTATTGTACCAGTGTCCGAGGTTAGAGGGAGGGTTGGCGCCTTTAAACATGTTTAACCCCGACACATTCTTTATGCGTTTGTCCCTATGTCAGGAGCCTGGTTGTCGTTGGTTCATGTCTGTCAAATTTGTTTTTCGTAAATTGTTTTGTTATAAATTAGGCCGTTAGTTTTCTAAATTGAATTGTTCCATATTTTTCATGTCGGGGCCTTTTATAGCCGACTTTACGGTATGGGTTTTTCTCATTGTTGAGGCCGTACAGTTGTTTATAGTTGCTAACATCCACTTCATTTGAACTTTGGTAGATAGTTGTCTCATTGTCAATCAAACCACATCTCCATATTTTTAAATATGTACATGAGGCAGAGGCGGATTTAAGGGGAGGGGGCAGGGGGCACGGGCCCCCCTTTTGTGGGACAAATTTGGTTGATTATATAGGGAATCACTGAAGCATGACTGGAGCGGGCCCCCTCTTATGAAAATTTCTGGATCCGCCACTGTGAGGGTTACAAATTCCATCTATTTACTTAGCGGTGAGGGGTTCAAACTGAACACTGATACGACGCACAACAAAACACTCTATTAGATTCAAAAAGGAAAATAACATACAACCTCATATTACTATAGATTGTCACTTTACCTCGTAGTTACACGTTGTATAGACAAACTGTGAAAGAAAAGAACTATCATATGGTTTTAAGAAATTTTATTGCAGAAAATATACCACTAGAAGCAGAAAAGAATAGTCTACTAAAAAGACAAAGTTACTTAAAAATTCAAATCAAAATCAAACGTTCAGATACTGCACCATTTACATATAAAACTGTATTTCTTGGTTCCGTACAGGTATTCAATATTATTGTAATTATACTCTCATCAATGTTGTTTGATAGTTATACTGACTAATGGGATAAGACACAAAACCATTACAAATATCCCCTGCAGGAACTCAATTTTGTTTTTATATAATTTTGATGACTGCTATATTTTACATATTGACTAGTAAGCAGGAGGAAATTTACAGATTAAGACACAGGCCTTTAATCATCTGTAAAAATGAAATTATAGTTTTGTTTGTTATATTTCATTTTTAAAGTATACAAGGAAGCAGGTTAACTATTATGTTTTGTCTCTTCAATAAATAGAAAAAAAACATTATTGAAAATTATAAAATCACATATATTTGCATTTTAAAAAGTATTGCACTAATATTTATTACATCAAATTGCAAGGCTATTAGTATTGATGCGTACTTGAATATTACATGAAACAAAATAATCAATTCTTGATTGTATACACATGATACATATTATAATGAGGATTAAATCTTAAAAGGAATGATTGGGGAGGGATGTATACGTAGGAGACGAAAATCTGATGAAATACATGAAAATAACTAATGGATTAAAGGAATTTGGTTTTAACTTATATTCTTCATTTTGAGAAAGGTTAAAGGTCTTTCACGAGTGACACTATTAAAAATGACAATTTTATGCATTTGTCTGATGACGATTTCATATTTCATTCACTGATGAAAATATGTACTTTTTTACCGCCAAATTCTTCAATGACATTTTAATGCATATACGATGTATTTCACATTGCAATTTAAAATTTTGTAGATAATACATTATATAAAGTTTGCAGATAGTCTGCCGTAACAGTTATTCGAATGAATTTTGGATTTTTATTTATGTATATGTTATATTCTATATAAACTGTTTGTATGTTTTAAAATTTAAGAGTTGAGATTTAAATAAAGTATTGTCTTGTCGTGTTTTGTCTCCACCTTAACGAAAGGTAAATGTCAATATAGTTCTTAAATTAATTTAATGTAATCAAAATAACATGATTTTGAAGCCCTGTTCCATTTGTTTATTGATGAAAGTTGCAATGAATTGATTGCTACTAATGTATATTAAAAGAATAACCATATGCGTAATGCAATTCTAAAATTGGAATGTGAATAAACATGAAATTTTTTAACGCAAGCGTTATTTAAGGTTATAATATAAATATATATATACATATAGATTATACCATCAAATTATTTACGAAATATATCCACTCGAAATAGTTTCAGAATTTGAAAAGTTATTTTGGAGAGTGGCTAAATATCCGAATATCCTTGTCAACAAGGTAAAGTGGTAGAACCTTTTTCTCTAATTATTCAATGGAAAATACCTAAAACTTGTGGATATGGCGGGAAATAGTATTAAAAAAATTTCAAGTCAACGTGCAGTTTATCAAACTGATCAGAACCGGATTAAATGCATACAGAACTAGAAAAACTATTTTTAGACGTATACCTTTAAAGCAGGTATGATAAATACACTATATATTGAAAAATAACACAAATACTACGCTTTAGTACTTTACCTCATTTTGTGGAAACATTATAGTTACACCTCAACAATTAAATCACAAAATTAAAAAATCTATTAAATGTATGCCTATTGCAGAGGATTTCATTAAAGATCTCCAAAGAAAATAATCATATGCTTTTCTTTTGATATTATTTATATTTTGATTGATGAGGGCAGTAGAAGGCTATAGCAGAGGTCTGATTAGGGGCAGTGGTAAGCTATAGCAGATGTCTGATGAGGGCAGTGGTAGGCTATAACAGAGATCAGAGATGATACTTTTAAAGTTTCCAGAAATTAAGTGAACATATATAGTAGATTAAGTTATCAATGAGCAGAACTTGAGCAAACCTTCCCATATATGATTTGCTTTAATTTTAGTCGATGTACAACATGCATAACAAAAAAAAAACGATTTGTATGATATTTCCATTGACTTGAATATCGATAAAATATTTGTAAAAAGTCTTGTGTAAACAGTTAAATTGTAAAAATGGTTCAAATGTACCTCGCAGAGATTTTTTAGAGTAAGTTAACTTGTATTGTCTTCTATCCATTATTTTTCACTTCCAATTTCCCGTACTTTCTTTTTTTCAGTTTATTTGTTATTTCCTTGTCTGCATAATACAGGGCATTTTTTTCTGTAATTTTGCATATCTTCATTTTATCAAATACAATTCAAAGTAAACTTCTAATGCATTATGTCTTATGGAATCATCTGATGATTGCCTCAATGTACAAATGTTTTGAGTAATAAAAGAGGGTCTGGATGGGGCGTGGGGGTCCTTCCTTATTCTTTATTTTTTATGCCATTTTTCTCTATTCATTATACTTTTTGCCCATTATTCTCTATTCTTTATATTGCAGCATCTCATTATTCTCTATTTTTTTTTTTGGTCCATTTTTCTCTATTCTTTATTTTTTAGCCCTTTATTCTGCACATTTTGCCCATTATTCTCTATTCTGTAAACCCCCATCTAGACCCTCATAAAAATACCAATAACAATCAATATACAACAGATAACATGATTAATACTAATGGCAATGTAAAAAAATCAACAACATGTAAAAGTTTTAACAGGAGCAACAAAGTTAATTTTCTGGAATGGTCCACATATCATCTTCAGAGTCTACACTAATCACTTTAGTTCTCACTTTCATTGGAGGTTTAGGATTTCCACGTGGTAAGCGTTTCTCCTGTGAACAAAAAAGATGATCTGTTGTAAACAGTATGTTTAAGAAAAATGTATATTTGGCTGCATATTATTGAACGCTATAAATGTGATATTGCTATAAATTTTGAAATTACTGAATGCAGTAGCAACAATTGTATTAAATTCTCCAAAAATCGTTCAAAAAGCAATATGATATAAAATAATATAATTCATTGCATACAAAGTACATAATGTTTCTTGAAATCTGAAATAATAGACAGCATCGAAATTATTTATCTTACAAATACAATGATCTGAATTGTACAAATATCTTTCTGGTATTCTGTTATTTGCTGCTGATATATGTTTGTTGTAAAGCTATATTCTAAATTCATGTTTAATACCAATGTTATCGAAATATGACAGCAATTGTGAATGGTATAATGAAATTATAATACATTTGAAATAAATATTACACGTGTCATGCTGTATATCAATTAGCGAGTCAGAAACAGGATATTTTCATAGTAACATGTAATATATTATCGACAAAACCTTACCAAAAATTTTTAAGAGTTATATTACCCTAGTTATAAATGATTTTTCAAGTCATTTATTTATAATAAACACGCGACTTCAGGATGGTAAATAGATTTACTCAATCTCACAAACCATATAAAAGAATATAGGAAAATGCATCACAAGCCAATAAATAAAAAACCAAAAAAAAAGATACCAAATGCGTGGACAAAATTAAACGCAATCAAAACAAAATGTAATAATCATTTCAATACTTATTTTATAATTTTTACTATTTGATTTTTATTTTATCAGGGCCGTGTGTTTTTTTATAAATGGACGTAGCACCACTACTAACCGTGTATTAAAACAAACCACGCCTAATAACCCCATATGAAATATACACGTTCTCCACGCGGTCGTTATTAACCGATCATATTCCTAGAAATGCATGCGAGATAAGATAAGAAAAAAATACGCTGCCCCACACTATTAGGGCAATACACTACTTATCTTCTACAACTTTAACAGTGTTCGAAAGTATTGCTGAATTATTTTTCTTTACTGGTAATGAATCGATGGGAAAAAAGTTATTTTTATTGTAAAGTACTTAATGTTATATACGATGAGCATCATGGCAAGACTGGGAAAATTCGTTTTTATTTATGAGAATTCGCATATTCAACATTTCACTTAACAGTAGGCCTTTATAGTGGTGTACATCCTTAAGTATATTGAAGTAAGTAAGTTCGATCATCTCCCTTTTAACACGTTGACCTGAGATCGTTCGCCTTCCTCTACATCATCAGGTAGTATTCTACAACTGTGGAAAAGTGAGGCGAAATATACCTAAGGGATATTCACTTACAACGCGGCGACAAAAAACAAAAAACGACCAAAAGACAAACAACATTATACAAATACAACATCAACATGTGGCACCCGTCGTGTAGCACCTTTCAAACAGATGTTCCATAACGTTCAACCAACTCGTGTTGGTGTCCGTAAAACTTTCGATGGGATTATTTCAACTTCACCACTTGGAAATCTAGGTTCAAAAACTTCCTTGTAAGCAGTAACCCTCTATCAAGGAAATAATGATAGGAAATACAAGCTCTGGAATACCGTATCAACTGGGATATATAGTATTTTACAATTGTGTAAATATTGTGAATATGAGTAAAATGAACCAACACAAATTCAGGGATTAGATATTACGGATTAATGAAAATTTAAAATAGCATTGTATATGCTACATTTATCAAACATCAAAATAAAACCTATTCATCGGTAAAAAGCAGATACTTCAAATCTTTGTTCCGTGTATTATTCCCTCAAGCAAGCAAAGCTATTATCAGCCCAAAATGAAACTTACAAAATAAAAGTAACAGTTTATTTGAAACGATTGTTAAACACAAGAGAAAAGTTATAAACATTTTCTTAAAAAATATGGTATACTAGTATTTCTTCATTCTTAATAAATATTAGGTGATTATAAATAGTAACATGTTAGTAAATATAACTGTTTGTACAAGACTTTTTGTTTTATGCTTAAATCTATTACTTTTTTAGGGCTTAAACTATCTGCATCACACAGAATTTCTTACAAAAATCTTAGCCGACTAATTTTTGCCATTGTGATTTCAAACATAAGGTTTATATTAAAGATTCTGTGCAAAGGATCAAGCATTTAACACAGTAATAATAAAATAAACTGCGTATCAGGTGCAAAACAATTGGTACCGTTAATGTTATTAAAAGAAACCTTTTTGATAACTAAAAACGATATAAAAAATAAATATGCAAAAATACACAACCACTGGAGATTAAAATGTAGTTAATATATGCAAGCAAATGTGCTACAATCCTTTAAACGATGACCATATTTGATATTAAGGGACTAAATTCGATTGTATCTATACCAACTGATAATCATGCATTAATACAACGTAATAAAAACTTCGTATGAAACGTATCGTATAATTAAATGATATTGTGAAGATACATTGGAAACCAACAGAAAAACACTAAGGAAACAATATAATGAGGATGTTCTTTACAACAAAAATATCCATTAAATGAAAGCAAAATAAAATACAGTGCATGCATCTTTACCATTCATGATGTGCAGTTAAGCTACCTTTATTTGAAATAGATAAACCAACATTTATTATTATTGTTAAATTTTAAACACGAAATACAATGTAGTGGGAGGATAGCATGTTGGCAGTCGTTGCTTGGAATTTGATTTACACATTCTATATCAGTCTTTTTATTTTTCTTAAAAGAGATAAAAAAAATTCTATTATCAGTTTAACCATATACTTAATTGGAACTTATTATTAACCTGTTGGTAAGAAGTCATCGGATACGGATCATGTGTTCTTAAAATTTGCTGTTAAAATATTTTGAAAATTATTTTGAATTCAGGAATATATCTCCCTCATGCAAAGATCTGATTCCTTGTCCGGCTTTGGCTCTACCTTTTGTCCTTTTTTTGTTTATAAGAGGAGTTATATTGACAATAAAGCTCAAGGCTGAAACTGATTATGTGGAATATTAATTCAAATTTTTAATTGATAGAGTGATTCATCAGTTAAACACTTCGGTTTGTTAAGTTACATGCGTATAATAGTATTTATCTGAGGTCACATCATTGGTAAAAGAAAGTAATAATTATAGTGACGGTTTGGGAATTTATGATTTAAATAACCTTTTATGACCATGCAGAGGGTTTCTGAAATTAAAATTGTGTATGAAAAAATATCAAGCACTCGTTATTTACCTGTTAACATAAGTTGCATAGAGTTAACAAAAGCTAGACATACAATACAGATCAGTTCTGAAGCGACTCAATCAAGAACCATACATTGAAGAAGTTGCAATGCAAGAAAAATATAGCATTCGATGTTTTGTTCTACATTGATTAGCTAAGGTAGTAAAAAGTCGGCAAATTTGACTGTGATCAGCTAATCAAAGTTGTCGTTTGATTTGAATAAGATACAAAATCTTATCTCTAGATGTTTTTCATTTTTGCTGGCTTGCTGTTCCATTGACTACTAGTATTGTCCACATTTTTTTCTATTTTCTTTTTAGTAATTTGTTTTCCGTACAAAGAGGAACAATTCAAAATATAAAGGTAGAAAAATTTTTCATGGCGAAAATTATATCTTACCGGTGGCGGAATTGGCATAGCGACTTCCTTATTATTGTTAACAGGTTTGGTAGCATTAATATATTTCCATGCACGTTTTGCCTGATCTCTGACTTTGTCTGTGAATTCCTGTTTTGCAGAGACACCAAATATGTCTTCGTGGAATCTGTTTGCCTCCTATCACAAAAGTAATACATTCACTACATAAAATCATAAAAGTATATCTTTGTCAGTTTGATACACAGATAAAATATTCTAAAACGTTTTATCACGTAAAATTAACTTCTGTTGTCATGTACGGAAATAAATTCAAACGTTAACACATAAAATCTGTTTCATTAAATCTACGATTATGACAGACTTTAAGGCTACAGACACGTCTAAAGAATGTTTCAAACGGAAGATGTGTGGCTAAAAACAAAAACAAAAACAATAACAATTAAATATTTGTTAAACAAGTGTTCAGTTTTCCTTAAAAGAGACGTTGCTTTTGCCGTCCTGTTACTTTGACACAAATTACCCGTCTTATTTAAATATAGAAATTGGAAGGATGATCAATTAATAAAAACTGAATGCCAGCAAAACATGCGATGATGATCAACACTTTTGTAATTTTCGAAAAGTTTATTTAAGTCTTTTTTCAGTCTTTCTTCGTTGATAGTAAATAAAAACAAGATGCAATAAATCATCACCCTTTCAGATTGCTTCATATCTAAATCTACTTATTTGGAGGTACGTATTGCAGCATCTTTTGATTTCAATATTGCTTATTGCTCGCTTGTGGGCATATCCTTTTACTCGTTCAGTAGTACTTTCCCTCTTTTTGGACAGCATGAATGCTTGTTTTAGTCCTTAACTCTCAGTAAGATGATTTTTAACAAATAATACAGTTACTTTGGTATATTAGCAATATGTTTTACATGCTTACATGTTAATGGTTAGTTTTATAAAAACCTTGTGTTCCCGAATTTCTCTAAAGTCGTAACAATTGAATTATAGATCTTCATCTTTCAAATAAGCTTCGGATTTTCAAATATTTTTGGCCTCGAGCACGACTGAAGAGACATGTATTGTCGAAATACGCATCTGGTGCAGAGGAAAATCGTACCGTTAAGGTGATTGTTTGTACAATCAATCGAATGAAACATATTAACAATTACCTTTAATTTCAGCATATAAGATTGAGCTTGTTCTTTCGACATTTTGCCTTTGTCTTGAATAATTTTGCATAGCGTTTCAGTAACATCAGATGCCATTTGTACATCACCACAGACATAAAAATGGCCACCATTTTTAACCACAGCATCGAATACTTCTTGACCATTTTTCTTTATCATATCTTGTACATATGTCTATAATGATAGTTTTAATCGTCAATAAAATGACATGTTAATGAGATATGAATATTACATGCATATTAAGGACGGTAACATGATAAAGAGATATTAATATAGCCTGTTTTGTTATAATCCGAATTGCATTAGTTGTAGCTAGACATTGTTTGTCTTTCCGGTGCTTTTTATTTTATCATTGCAGTGTTGTATGAGCTGCGTCGGATAGAAATCGACCTTATGCAAATGAATATCAATACATCCGTTTACTTATTTCGGGTTGAAAAAATCTTTATGATAAGTATGAAACTGTTTGAAACTGGTATTGATATAAGAACTCTACAAAACAGACCGAAATTCATCTTTAATTTCGTATTTGAATGTTCCAAAATCAATCAAAGTCTGATTCATGTACATTTATACGTGCACTTGCATAAGGTCGATTTCTATCCGACGCAGCTCGTATGTAAAATCTTTGATAGCCTTCTTGCAGTTTCCAAACAATTTCATTTTGAGAGTTCAAAATCATTTAAAGTATCCCTCCTACTTAAAACTTAAAGATAACTTAATACCAATAAGCGTCGAAAACATTCGTATTATGAAATTTGGGTAAACATAAATTCAAAGTAGATGTCAAAAAGGAAGACTTCGTTCTTGATTTGGCCTTTTAACTTTTTTTATTCGAGCATCACTGATGAGTCTTTTGTAGTTGAAACGCGTTTATGTCCTTTTATGTCTGTTTGTTTTATTCACGCATCGTTGTCAATATAATGGAATTTGATGCGACTGTCATACAAGTGAGAGGTTTAGCGCTATAAAACCAGGTTCAATCCACCATTTTCTACATACAAAAATGCCTGTACCAAGTCAGGAATCACAATTGTTGTCCATTCGTTTGATGTGTTTGTGCTTTTGATTTTGCCATTTGATAAGGGACTTTCCGTTTTGAATTTTCCTCGGAGTTCAGTCTTTTTGTGATTTAACTTTTAACTGGTACGTACACAATGATAAACCTGGTATCTTTGATGGTTTTGATTGTCGTCAATATAATGGAATTCTATATTACTGTCATACAAGTGAGAGGTTTAGCTAGCTATAAAATCTGGTTTAATCCACCGTTTTTTACATAAGGAAATGCCTGTACCAAGTCAGGAATATGACAGTTGTTTTCCATTCGTTTGATGTGTTTGAGCTTATGTTTTTGCCATTTGATAAAGGACTTTTCGTTTTGATTTTTCCTTGGAGTTCGGTATTTTTGTTATTTACTTTTTATGTTCTTTTTGTTGGTTGTGTTTAACAATTTAGTGGGGAAACTTGAAACGAAGTAAGTTTATGAAATATTACACAACATTTATAGTTCACGTTACCTTTGGTTGTCCTGGCTCACGTGAAAACGCAGTGTAGACTTTTGTTAAAACGTCATCTTGTAAACAGTTGTCTAATTCTTCCTTATATATATAGTCAACGGCCGATTTTCTACATCCAAAGTACAGGTACATTTCTCCCCAACCAGTCTTGTCGCCATCTTAAATAATAGGCAAATAAATAAAAGAAGGTTTGTTACTTCAATCTAAGGCGGCAAAATAGTTCTTGATAAGTACTAAAATTTCATATGAATAATACTACAAATGGCTGACTTGGCTACATATATGCAAACTTTTCTATAGGACAATGTTTAGGTGCATTTTGTTTAAAACTGGTGTTCTTATATACACATATGACATTTGTTTTCCATTCGTTTGATTTGTTTTAGCTTTTGATTTTGCCATTTGATAAAGACTTCCCGTTTTAAATTTTCCTTTGAGTTCGGTGTTTTTGTTATTTTACTTTATACATGTATTACGCATTGCTTATTACGCATTAAGAAAATATCATTACATTAATGCAGTAATATACATCTGAATGGATTAATTTCTTGATTTAAACGATATCGAATGTACTACAGAGAAAATAAAATCTGCAAACATTTTGAGCTGATGTAGTTAATTCCAGTAACACGTGCCATGCCAGCTGAAACTTTGTATTATATAATATAGCAAACACTGAATCAACCGTAAAAAATAAAAAGGTATTTTATTCGGTATAATTTCAACTTTATTGATTGCGCATCACTGTAAATGAATCAGAATAAGTAGATATATAATCACAGCATGATAATTATGTGATTAGACTTATGAAATAGAAAATCGAAGGATATGGGGCATCCATCCATGACACAAAATCAGTACATGCACAGCAAAAAACACACAAAAAAGCAAAGGAATAGCGCTTTTATTGCTGTTCGTTATCTAAAAGTCACAGTGAGGCCTTCAAAACGGAGCAAAAAACTCTCACCTCACTGCAAGTTTAAGACGGCCCCTAGCACCGGCTTGAGCGGAATTCTTTACAAAAATGATTTGAAGTTTATTATGTTTTGGTTTCCTGAAATAGTTGTAAACATAAATGTATACTTCCATTGTGCCAATGAGAATTTTTTTCAAATACAATAGTAACGTTTACTTTTACGTTTAAAATCTTCAAAATGTACATTCTGAATAATTCTGTAATAGCTCAATAATAAGCCACAAACCGTAAAACTTTTAGATAACATTTCCAATAAAACAATTATTAAATAAGTTTTTCTTTAATACGGTTTCATAAGATGACACAAGCTGTAAAACGTATCCATTTGTATCTGTTCTTCACCTAGAATATTGCTTCAACGACAAACTGAAGATCCTATACTTTCCATGTACTATGAGTCCGTCTAAACTATCGATTTGGGCACATCGTAAAAGTAGTTGCAATTTGCTGCTATTTATTTTTGAGTTTTTGTGACAATTGTCGTTACTTCAAATGCTAAATTGTTATCAATATATGATAAATATAGTCTAGATTTGTTTTTGTTTTTTTGTGCTGTTGGCCTGACGTCTCATTGTCGAATACCCCATATCTCTCTTTATTCGTATTAAAAACACGCGCATGGTTGAACTTTCAAATACAACATGCGCCACAATAATTATTTTGTCGTCTCCTCAACGTAAGTTTTATGCTTGAAATTATCCTCGTTGTTTAAAAAAAAAACATTTCAGTACAGGACAACAACATAAGTTTGCAAAGGAACCAGTATTATTGATCAGCTCTTTTACAAACTGGATGGAACATGTCAAAGTTCGAAAAAAAATAAAGATGCTATTAAACTTACGCTTCGGCACGGGTAACATATTTTTGTCTATTTTACGCTGATGCCAGAAACTTCTAAATGGAGCAATTCCAGTTCCAGGTCCTACCATTATAATAGGAAGTGTTGCATCGTCTGGTAAATGGAATAATGGCGCCCTTCAATGTTTTAACAAGAAAGCATTTTAAAGGGTCATTTTAAATTTGGTTGTAGTATTGCGTATACATTTAAGACATATAGTGGCACAACTATTCATATAAAACATATTAATAAAATTTAGTAATTATTTTTCATGGTAAAATGAAGATTATGTCTTTGATTACTTTGGGAAATCATTTTGCTGAAGAATCAGAAGTATTGGTTTACATAAATTCTACCTCGAAATTACAAAGTCTAGTACATTCATTCCAGCTTTTTTACTGGTGAAAGTAAAAAAAATCGTTATAAAAACAACTGAACTTAAGTCTACTATCGAACACAACTTTGTTCCCCTTTGTATTGGCTTCCTGAATTACACAGGAAAACATAGCAGTTTCGTTATAAATATGTATATAATATAAATATTCAGATACGATGTATAATGATAATTAGCTGCCTGCTCATCAAAAGTATAAGTTGTACGACTAAACTGGATGTCCATATTATGTATTAATATAATACATCACAGTATTTATTTTCATCAAAACAAACAAATTGAAAACCAATGATTAGAATATGTTAGGTTCACTAGTATATTAAGTTCACGTACATTCTCATTGCACATGGTATTTCTTCACCAATATCACAGCTGTTCAGCCAATTTGAGCAAACCCCATAATGAAGTGCACCAGCACCATCTGTAAAATAAGATAAAACAATATTTTATAAACTTTTTTATTGACAAAACTCATTTATGTACTAATTATTTTAGTAACCTCAATTCTTTACTTATTTTTACAGCTAATCCTGGAGGATATCATCAGGTAAATCAAGAAAAGGGCTTCAACGGCATACTTATTTAATCTTTTGATATGTCGAACAAGATAACGACCGTATGTCTATTTTGCTGCGTTTCTATTTGATAGGTGAATCGGTTAGAATTAAGAAGTAATCTTACAAGATATTTAAACGACATTAGAAACGTTTATTGTGCAATTTATCATTTTACTATACAAATAGAGGTGTACAGATAACAAGAAGCGAACGGTTACATTCAAAATCATGTTTACGTCACAGTTCAATTTGGATCCTAATCGCGGTCCGTGTTTAGTCACGTCAATTTCATTAAAAAAACAATGTTAATTGTAGGGATAAAGCAATATTTGGATATATTTGGATATTGTAGGAAAATATTAAATTTATTTGTACTTATTACGAATAAGGTAAAAAGTTCGACGAACCTTCCGATATCTGAAAAGTCGTACAATAAATTTTATATATTTCTACACTGTATGAATATGTATCCTTATGCATTGTATCATATAAAATATGTTACCACGACATTCTGCAGGGCATGAGTTCTGCAAGACGCCAGTTTTAAACATCATATCACATACAGGTATTCTTACCCATTGTATTATATTTTAAAACACCTATGGTAGCGTGAACTTCTCCTGGGGATGATTTTTGCGATGAGCTTATACTATAAAATCTTTGCTGTAATAATGGAAGCTGAGATATCAAAAGTGAGGGATTGATTTTTAGGGAAGGAAACTCTTCTAAAACTTCCAACATGTTCGGCATCTTTTCATATCTCCAATCTTCATACTCATGAATGTCCTAGAAAAATAAGATATGAATATAAACATCTAATGTATATACATTTGGCTTTCTCATTTTTGGCAATGAGCGTACCCGATTAATTATATTATACAAATCATGTCTGCATTCGGTTATGGAATGCGTTGTAGTTTGAAATCTATGCAAATGAGTTAAGGTGGTACATAACACTACAGGGAGATAACTCTGTAAAAATCAGACGAACGCTTTAATCACGTTCTATTGTTAGTAAATTATTAAGCTTCTCAATGATCAAAATTAGTCTTCTTCAAACTGCTATACATCAATGAAATTTTTCCGATAAGGTGTCTAATTCAAGTTTTTTGAAATTTTTATATTTTTGTCAAAGGGTCAAAGTAAATATTTTGTCAAAATTTTATGAAAATTAAACGAGCCAAATTAATTTTAGTCAAGGTGTTTGGTACCACCTTAAAAAAAACATATCATTAATATTTAATCATTGAATACTATACATGTAGGTAGGAACCGACTAATAAGCAAATAGCCTCGAATCCTTTGTAAATATTGAATCAATTAGACGTGGACAATGTAAAACACTTAAACACATTCGGTTTTAGTTGTTTTTGTGTTTGGAAAACAACAATAATCACTACTTAAAAAAACCAGAAATAGTACAGAATAGTACAGATTCTCTATTTTTATACATATGAGCATAAAACAATTACTACTAATAAATATATATACTACGTACGTTAGCTAAGTTTTCAATTTTAATTTTGTCATTATCTCGTGTTGCTTGAGATACCAGTTGTTTCAAAAACTCTTGTGATGGGGGTGTTGTAATATCTAGGAATCTTGAGAACATTGTCTTCATGGTGGCTGTAGGGATTTTCTCAAACTGTTTCCACGACTTTTGTGTGCCTGAAACGTAAGATAAATATGCTGTCTTCTAACCAAAATTTGTATCATATCTCACTGTCACTAAATAACGTACAACACATTCTAAAATGACTACTGTGAAATTCATTTATTTTCGTGGATACTTATTTCGTTGATTGAGCAAAAAATTTATTTTCGTGAACACTTGATTTCTAAGTTTTGTGTAATTATGCGTCGTCCAATCCTATAGGATTTATTTTTACTTCGTTGAACATTTAAATTCGTGGTTCTCCATTACCCACGAAATCCACGAATATTGGTACACAACGTATATTAATGAATCAACAGTATGGTCATATATAATTGCTTACATTCAGGAAAATTGGACTCTGGTGGATAGTTGTCTCATGAGCAATCATACCACATCTCTTTATGTTTACTTAAAAATGCTATGTTTAATAAAGATACTCTTTACAGTGTATTTGCTCTACAGACTCGTATTGTAGTGTTTTGTACTTTTTTTTTAAATACAGTGATAATGGACTAGTTGTGAAATAGAACATGAAACTATTAGGTTTAAGCAATGATCAAAATAATAACCATTGTCTTTATTGACATTAAAAAGGCTTTTCGTTTTTTTTGGGGAATTATTCCAATTTTGTCATGCCGGGGCCTTTTATGGCTAGCTCATATATTGTCTCTAATTAGCTGGTACTGTTGTGTTTTGAAGTATATTTTTCCAATTAAATACACAATCAACATATGTATTGCAGTTTCGAACTGTGTATTGATATCAATATGCTTCACTTACCCATTGGTGTTGTAAGTTCCTGAATAACTTCCAATTTTACTAGTTGATCAGGCGGTGGTGCATTGTGTAGACGAGTAATAATACCATCTACTAACTCCGAGGAGTTTAGAGGGAAAATAGCCACGTGGTCACCGGGACTGTAGTTCATATCTGCTGAGTTTCCCTCTAAATCAATATTTGCCAGATAAGTCTGTCGTCTGTGTATAATAGAAAAAAAATGAACTTAGTCTGTTTCGTCATTACAAGAGAATCCACTGTTCAGCGTTAAAAACATGTGGATTACAATATAGCAAGCACGAATATTAAAAAATTCATTTGTACAGGGGGGAGGGGGGGGGTGGTTCATTGCCTTAATGATGCATAAAAAGGTTGTTGCTATAGCCGATATTTAGATACTCTTAAGAAGGATATAATCGTCGTCTTAGCAAAAATAAATATCAACAGGCCCGTCTAACATAGAACATTAAGTGAATATTCGCCCCTGGTTTGTTGAATTTACTTTATGTTGACCATTAAAAAAGTATATGACACATTTGAATAAAAAAGTAAACATTTGTAAATAAAGGAGACAACACAAGTGTAAAAGCCATGTCATCATATTATTTTATCATGTTACCTAGTATACCTGTCTGGTATGATAAATGTTGTGAAGGTCGATCCTATTTAGTTACAATGTAGTGTGTAATATTGTAAAAAAAAACTGCTCCTTTTGGAATACGTGTGATTTCCTCAGTTTCTGTTCATTGATTCATCGGTAAACTACAGTCGCCTTAATTTATTATTTTCCGATATTCAAAATGTCCGATGTTGACAAAACATCCTGAATCAAAATCACAGTAAATGTATAAAGAAATCGTCATAGTGATATCATGATTCAGCTCCTATCTAGCTGTTGCCTGTGCTTAAACTAATAACTACTTACTCTGAATCTGGATCTTGTAGTTGGATACGGTTTGATAAGCTACAGGATAACACATTTTTACTGTGCATTTTGCTTAAAGCTGGAAAAGATTTCAATAGATTATCGTTCAGGTGTATTTGCTATGAGTTGTTTACCTGGTGGAAATTTGGAGCACTGGCAATTATACCACATATTCTTATTTTTTACCTCTCCCAAAAATGTTCGATATGTTTCCCTAAGTTTATATTATATCTATATCATATTGAAGATATGTGTGACTGCATTTAATTTGTATTCATAACCATGAAAAACTAGAGAATAAGAATAAAGAAGTTGAATGCGGCTTAGATGATTTAATATTTGATAACTGGATTTCACTTTAGCTATAACATTCGTTTAGTTTAAACCACCATAGTATCAATAAAATTATTACTTGAAACCAAACATCATTCTATCTGTAATACAGTAACTGATATTCACAAAATCAAGCATCGCACGACTATTATCCAATTTGTTCTTTGCATTGCATGACTCGAAGTTAAATCTGTCTAGATGACTTGGTTTCCGTTAATTTGAGATATTTTATCATCTTTTCTGAATTCATATTATCTTGGCTTGGGGATTGGTATCTAACAATTAGGTGCAGGCGTTTAATGCTGTGCGTTTTACGTCACATTGTTTTATACAAATCAACAATTTTGAATTCAGAAAAAGAAATTGTACTAAAATACGATACCTTCACACAAAGATAATGGCGTTTCGTTTGTTGATGGTGTTAACCTAAACTTTTCTGGTGACCATGTGAAGTCTGTCTTCGACAGCGCACCAGTTGCCTCTTGGATACTATTTTCATCCCCAACACAGAAAGTGTCACAAGCAGCCTGTAAAATCATTAATAAGCTATTTTTATGAATACTGTTTATAATTAATGAATATTACAAACATGACAAATTTACACCGTAATAGAAAGATCCAGAAATTGAAAACAGAGGAACAATACATGGTCAATGGAAATTGAAAACAAGCACGTATATGATACCCACGTTGCTGGCGAAAATAAAACCTACATAATTACAGTTTTTTCTGTTATTATTGCTATCTGTTTTAAAAGCCTTTAGTATGGTTAATTTTGTTCTTAGTTAAAACAACGAAACGGTACTATATTTATCAAAGATTGGAGCATGAATGTCAAATAATTACTACATAAAATGATAACATCCAAGTATCATGTTTCTACAAAATTCCAGCAGTCACAACCTTTGAGCCATTCTCTTCTAAAATGGCAGCTTTGTTCATATTTTCTCGTCATTACATAACTGAATATCGTTCTCTATATAAAAAGACAAATCTTATAATAAGTTACCTTAAAAACGGATTTTGCCCACTGTCGGAAGGTTTCTTCTTGACCACATAGTTCGTCTCCTTCTCCCATTTGATATATTCTCTCGCTGCCAAGTGCATTCATCATGTTATCGATGTAGTGAGCAAAGGCACAGAAATTAGGGTATGCACGAGATCCCAATCCAAAAACAGAGAACCGAACGTTGCTGAGAGGACCCACTTCTTCAAGTATTTTGTCCTCGACTTGTTGATTATCTTCTGATTCACTTTTTGTGCTCATTCTGAAGTACTGAGTTGATAATCCTTCTCCACTGAAATAAAATCAGATGGTCGACCAAATCTTTAAACAATTTCAATCGTCTACGATTGAATTGCCGTAAACTATTAGCTGTAATGACACTGTACTGTAATAGACTTAGTTTTACTTAACTTGCAAATGTTTGTCCTTCCAAGGAAATAAAAAATAAACAGTACAAAACATCTAATGTGTGACATTGACATTAACCTTGAAATGGTTCTTCAATATTCGGGTTCGATTTTTTTCAATCATTAATTAATTACTTACTGTTTTTATAATTAGAACTTTATTATATATTTATATGTTGTATGTCAAGATTCTAACAGAAATACTAACTTTTTTGTACTCTTAACGTCGTTCAAGTCATGAAGGTTCTTAGCAAATGCCTACAAATATAAACGTTTTGTTTAAAGCAGTGATCTTTCAACAGATTGGCTCAACTAAAACAAAATACCTGGACTTCAAATCTAAAAACATACCATTCATTATATTATTACAATCGTGATAGAGCAATTACTTTGGCATACTCTGTATCGGTTGCAGATAAGAAATTGCTTATTATAATACCACTACACATGTTAATTCTTCAAAACTTTGCAGTAAGAAATATTCATTTGTAAACATCATAAGACCAATCATATGGCAAAACATATCTGTTGGTTTGTTGTCTCATTGGCAATCAAATCTCCTTATTTTATATATTAAAGTTATTAATTTGAGAAAATTCCGGGAAAATGTCTTCTTAAATTATATAGGTTACTTGATGTCTATCATATTTGTATGCAGTATGAGAGTTAAAAAAGTATAACAAAAATACCGAACTCCAAGGTAAATACAAAAAGGGGGAAGTCCATAAAAACTGACAAAATCAAACGCTATCAATCAACGTTAAAAAAGTGGAAGTGCACTTTCAAATGAAATCGATAAACGTTGTCATAGTTTTGTTAAAGGTTTATAGTAAGTTTGTGTGCTTTATATAATAACTATGTACCTCTCCGTTTTCAGGTGGATCGCCATTTCCGAATGTGCTAGTAACAAATAGAACTAAAGCTTCGTGTTCTAGATGTATAGCGTCATACTCCGCCATATCAACTACCTAAATAGAAGGTAAGTGAGTTATTATTTTCATACTCTTATTCATCCTAGGTAAGAAATGCAAACACCACAATGGTTTACAGGAGAACAACGAACCAAACATTAAACATTCACCAACTGGCGTGATGTTGTTTTCATTTAAGTGTAAAAACAACGAAATTAGCAATAAATTGTTACATTCTGAAACTGAAAGCACGTTTACTGTATATAGACAAATCCAAGTATAGATACCACAATTATCGCCCTTTAGTTAACAAATATAGTTCCTCTTATTTTGAGTCTTCAATTTTTTTTCTCTTTTATGAATAATTTTCGTTTGTTTTTCTTTTGCATGTACATGACAGAAATTAGCTTATATAACATTTTGATAGAGAGATTACAATGAAAAGCTTCGTTGAAAGATTGAGGCTTCTGGAATTATTCGTTATAGTCTAGCTTGTAAAAAATGAAAACAACAAGTTATAAATTTCATGCGTCCGAGGTGCTTTTTCTGGATTTATCTTCATCAGGAACGCTCAAAGCTGAAAGTTTGAAAGCCAAGGATGTATAAGAACCGAAATAATTGAAAAGATATAAGATCAAAAAGGACCTTGAAAAATAGCCAAACCAATCTAAGGTCAGCCGTGTCTGAGGTAATTGAAATCTTAGTTTCTTTATAATTTCAAAAAAATTATAAACTGGACCAATGTTAGAAAGATTTATTGTAAGTGGTTCTTAAAAGAGCCGTGCCAAGTAATATTTCATGAAATTAAAAATAAGTTAAGATAAAACCCTTATTTAGCACAGATTATGAGATTTAACAATAAGAAACTGTGCACTTCGAAAAGGATGCTATTGTAATATACAGCTAATGTAAAATAAATTGTTTAAAACAAATTTATTTTATTATTATTTACATCTTATGTTTTATCTTATAACTCAGTATCCATTTTGTGACGTCATTGAATGAAAGTTTTACTTACCTTTGCGTCAAATGCATGCTTAAATATTTCACAAAGTGTCTTTGCAAATCTCTCTGATTTCCCTGTCTCTGTTGCATACAAAATTGTGCATTTCACACGATTAGACAGTGCTTTTACCATCAGCTTAGCACTAAACTTTACAGCTCTAAATATGTAGAAGAACAAAAAAGAATAAGATTTCTTAAAGTAACATCTTTCCTTTCGCAAATATATGGTCATGGTACTGATTTCAACGCGCATGTAATACAAAACAAACAAAGTTTGAAAGCCAAAAGTTAAAATTATTTGGAGATTAATTCCAAAAAGGCCAATATAAAATAGTAAAATAAAAATCTTCTTTAGTTGCAAATTTCATTTCAACTAAACCAAGTGATAATTCTTTACATGTAACTTTTCTACCATTGTTATAACTTAAAACATTCAAATCTACATAAACGTTTTTTTTTTTTTTAATTAAAACATACACAATGACTCACAGATTAGACAAACACGCAATAGTACAAAGATGCGAGAAAGTACTGATCGTAAAAACTACAACTCACAAAAGGTAATGATGTCAAAATAACAATCTCTATGTACATGTATATTAATAAATAAAATAAACTTTTTAAAATCATTTGATATATTTCTAAATTTTTACATACCTAGCCAATTCCTTAAATCCGAACTTTCTTCGTCTCTTTTCTACAGTTTTCCCTTTTTCTCTGTCTTTTTTCCATACGTAGGTTCTAAAAACTTCATCCTGATATACAATGTAATGCAAAAAAAAGTTAAAGGCAGTTTAAAATAAGAATGTTATCTTCAGTAAATGGTATAATACAAATCAACGAAAACGAATTAAACTAATAACCTTTAAAGAGGTCCAAACATTTCCAAAAATTTAACGGTAGAAAATAACAAAACTCCGTGTATCCTACTTCAATTTCTTATCAATTTTATAGAAAGTGGATATCTGTCCAATGTGCACATGTTGTACATTGTACTCTTCATAAATATACACATTATCAAAGACTTTTTAACTTCATGTTTTATGGAACTTAAGACAGTTTATTATTATACTGACATATTTTCGTTTTTGTCATCTACTTAAAAACGATAATTAGAAAAAAGGAGATGTGGTATGAATGCCAATGACACAACTCTCCATCCAAGTCACAATGTGTAAAAAGTTAACAATTATAGGTAAAAGTACGGCCTTCAACACGGAGCCTTGGCTCACACCGAACAGCAATTGAGCTATAAAGGGTCCCAAAATGACAAGTGTAAAACAATTCAAACAGGAAAACCAACGGTCTAATCTATATAAAAAACGAGAAACGAGAAACACTTAAGAACCACAGTCAACAAACGCCAACCACTGAACAACAGGTTCACGTATTCTTTTCATGAAATTACCTGATATTCATAAGACGGTTTCAATTTATACAGTAACATTTCTTGATGGAAAACCGGAGTGATGCTGCTACTGAGAGGAGGCACTACCCAAACCCAATCAGCAGGACAACCACCTCTCTGTTTCATTTCATTCTCCATAAACTTCATGAAGGATTCTGAAGCCGCGTGGTGGTCCATTATTGTAGCTCCTGCAGCCTGAAAGTTATTTCAAAGTAAGTGTTGTGTAAGTGACATCAATAAGGCTCAATCGGCTAAACTCGGGTGTATGGAATCGGCCGAGTTTTGACGAATGCGATAAGGCATGAATCAAACGTCGCATAAAATTCAAAAGATATCTAGAGATCTGTTGCTAATTTAAGGCTTGGAATTCAGAGAAAATAAATTCAGTTAAATAGCTCAGTAGCAAATCCTAAAATGTTCTTGTGATCCATTTGTGATCTACCTGAGGAATCCAACAATATATTAATAGAAGACAAAGTCCTCTAAAAAGTCCTCATAACAATAAGGAAATAAATATCAATATCAATATACTAGTGAATCCAAAATTAATTAGGTTAATATGTTTGGAAAAAATCTATTAGTACATCCTGTGGCCAGACACAAAATCATGGAAACTCTTAAATATATAACGAAAAAATATAAAGTTATATAATAATGTTTAAGAATTGTCACGTTCTTTATTTATAGTATCTTTTCTAAAAAAAATTAACAAAAATCACATGTATTTTATGTTCAATTCATAATGGTAAAATAAATATTGTATGTTGTGATACCTGAAAGCTATGAAGGACTGCAATATTTGTTTCCACAGCAACTCTGTCACGCCATAATGAAGAATTCTTCCTCGTGTCAAGTCCTAATTTTTCTGCAATTTTCTGTAAAGTACAGTAATACTATGGTCAATAGTAGGTTGACATTTTGGCAATAGATTGGATCGATCCTGATGTGTACAAGATTTTCAAATTAAATAAATGAATAGGTTTGAGTGGTCATCAATGGGAACGTATTGCAACGGCAAATCAATATAAGGATGTCTTGTGCCTAGAGAAGAATCTTCTCAATAAATATAACATCAAAGTCAGATTTGGAGTTATTGTTTAAGATACAATTCGACACCGTTTGTCGTTGTGGCGTTTAGTTTTATTCACGTACACAGTATGAATTGTTTTATTGCTTGACACATGCTTAAAGAACTAACCACTTCGACGGTAGCTTGTTTGTCAAGATGAATAATAATGCCTTTGCGTCGCTTCCGCACAAATCGTGTTATTCATATAACAAAGCAAAGTTCAAATGCAGATGTGATCCGTTTGGAGTCCACACTGTTCCGCCTTTTGTTTATTTTTAAATGATGTATGTCATTTAAACAACTCAATACCTGGACGATGTTCATGAATTGATATTTGAATAAACGTTATTATTATCATTTACATATGTCTCCGAGAAAATTCTTCTTTGAAACTTCATAAAAATCCATGTTGATTTACCTCTATAAGATTATATCTCTGTGCATCTAGAAAGTCTCTAGAAGCAATTTCAGTCCCCATATACCATCCATTAAAAGGGCAAGCTGTAAATTCCAGTCCACCACAATCAAACAACATAGCAGACACTGCTGGTAAGGCAAACCACTTAAGTCCTAACTCAGCAAAACTTGGAAATCTGAAAATTTCAAAGGTAACTTTTCTCAGGTCTCGAAAGTCAACTTCATTCACAGCTTTGACTGTTTTAATTTAATCAGTTGTGTTAGGGCTATATATAATTTCATGGTACTTTCACGTTGAATATAAGACGGTTACACAATCGTACGTTAATTTGCAACTCAATTTTGGCATAATTCAATATTAGCATTTGATAACCATATATATATAGACGTCTAAACAAGTGACAACTCTACGACAGATCCATCTATTGGATCACCAGTGAAGGTGATACACGGCTGAAAACACATATTATATTCATAATTACTCTAAATATCAGCACAACAATGTTAAATCTGCAAATTTGCGGAAGCAAATTTTTGTTCTTCCCTTGCCGGGATTCGAACTCATGCAATTGGGATATCGAGACATCACTGCCTGCACCGTGTCCAACACTCTAGACCACTCGGCCACCTAGACTGAACTTAAAACTCAGCTTACGGTGGCCTATTGTTACTTTTCCTCGTCAGTAGAATCTAGAGTTGTAACACAGTACATGATATATTAGGCATGAAGATGGAATTGATTGTAGATTAGCTAAATCATCTATCGTAAAGGATCGTGATGTACAGTCACAGAAATAATTATTTGATAAGTACGTCTAAACAAGTGACAACTCTATATGGCATATGTCTGATATAGGATATGATATTGCTGCTCTTCAGAACATTATGATGTCACCAAACTAATATTTTCCCAAGCTATAAAGTGTTTTCTTATATCCTTTTATTTCTTTCAACCCTTTTTATACATTGGACCTTTATAGCTGTTCTTGATTTTGGTTATCTAGTTTCGGTCTCTCTTTTCCCATATCTTTACTGCGGTCAATATATATTGCATTTTACGCATTTTCTCAAGCAAAACTTTTTTTAGTCTTTTGATAGAAATCATTATTATGCGCAGTAAATACGTATATGTATCCATATATAATTCTAACATATAAGAATAAGAAGATGTTGTATAATTACCAGTGAGACAACTATCCATAGAAGATCAAAGACATAATATAAACAAATACAAATCACTCGCTGTACGTTAAGTTACCTTTACTTTTCTCAAAAATCATTTTTTTAAATAACAACTACTTGTACAGAACGAACAAAATGTTATAATTCAAATAATTTACTTTGGATGCTTTATTTGAACTTCAAAAATTAACTCCGCTGGAATCTCAAACATTTCTGGATCCATTCCATTGGCTTGTAGAATAAGCGGCAAGACATCGAACATTCCAAATTTAGGTTTCCAACCCATCTTCACGACAACCTATGGTAAAACATAAGAATAGCATATGAATGATATGAAGTCAATATATTTATTAACAAAAATTGTGTCATATCAGTAAGTTCTTCTTCTAGTAACAACACCGTGCGGAACGTCATGTAACGCTCAATGGTAACAACACCGTGCGGATCGTTATGTAACGCTCACAGGTACAAACACCGTGAGAAATGTAGTGTAACGCTCACTGGTTACAACAATCGTTCGGCTAAACATATATTACGTACTGTACCATTAAAAGCTATCCTGCATCCGTCCGGTTAAATTGCTTAGAATAACGAGCGATGCAGCAGCGCAATAAACGATTACGTTTGTCTATACTTACATTAGTAAAATCGATAGCTGCTGGATCACCAATTACCGATCCGTCCGGCTGTTTGTAGCCAGCATACATAACAAGCTGTTGGTTCCATACCCTGAAGTCATGCTTATTATCAGTTCGAGGAGGGAAAACAGTTATTGCTGATCTGAAAAAAAAATAATTGAAGAGTGACTTGCTAAGTACACGAAGTTTAATTTAAGGAATAAGATTTTAATGCTCAACAGTAATTTGTTTACATTTCAAAAAATTGCATTTACGTTAAAAGTTCGATTGAAGTTGAAGAATAAACGGCGGAGAAGATATAGAAGGGCAGACAAAAGCGAGAGAAGATAACGAGGGGCAGACAAAAACCATCCAGTCAAAGAAACGTAGACAACGCATTAAATCACAACTTGTGTAAACATTTGGATATCGTTGCTTTTTAAGATTTTTCTTTATACCATTGAGGACGACTGAGTGAACTTGACTTATTCTTAAAAATAGCTCTAGTTAGTTTATTATTTTTTTTAAATCGTTTTTGTAAGCAACCTGATATTTTTCCCCTACATAATATTTCGTATTTATCTTAACAGTTAGGCGTGATAAAAGGCAACATATTAATATTCTATAAATTATCATTTCAGTACAACTAGTAACTATCTATTTGACTTTATAAAGGATAACATTAAAAAAAAAAGAATAAAGAAATAAGGTTTCTTTTAACATTTTCTTATTTCTATAGTATATGGTAATGTTTGTAGATAGCTGCACATTAGCTCATCATTAATCATCATCAATCATCAAGTTAATACGTGCTAATGTATTACGACAGTCGTACTAATCAAACATGGGGGCGTGTACACTTTGAAGGGCATGTCGTGATTTAAAAAATAGTTAGTAGGTATATATATGAGTTTTCTTTTTTGATATTGACAAGTTTTCCTGAATATTTTACTCACAGATTGAAACTGAGAAATGCTAGTCCAATTTGAAGTCCGAATAATATAATTTTAAATATTACGTTATCCATCCAATCAAAATGTTTTCAGCTCCGAGAGGGTGGACAGGGGGTCCCTGATTCCCACTTCCCTCCCCTTACTCCTAATTCTTATATCCTACTCCCACTTCCCTCCCCTTACTCCCAGACAAAAATCTGTCAAAATTTTGTTTTCAGCATATCCCTAAGGCTATCTCTACTCCTCCTCTACTCTCGGTTCCCACCCCTGACTCCCGCTTCCACCCCCCTGACTCCCGCTTCCACCCGCTCATCCCAATATTCCCTTACCCCTGTCCAGTCATTAGCTCTAGTGTGTAAAACATCAGTCATAAATTGTATCACACAGTACTAAACCTTTACTCAAAATTAGGTTTTATTTTTCCTCAAAAGTTAAGGGCCAAACGGATCTCTTCGTGATTCCCCTCCTTTTCCCAAAGCATATAAATAAATAAAGCGGTTTAATCTGCATATGAAAGACAATTTATAGCTTTGAATTGAAAAAAAATTCGTTGGGAAATATTTAAGATCTGATGTGCATGCTGTGTCAGGCAAGGAGTCGGATACACAGTTAAATTATGAAGGGAAATCCTGCCAATTCAAGAGTTAACGCCCACTTTAGAAACATGAATCTGCAAATTAATATACAGATAAACTCCCATGCATTGGAATTAATGTCTGAAAGAAAAGATGGACGTAGATACTAAAGGCGGAAATAAAAAAAAATAATAAGTCGATGCAAAACATACACAACATTATGGGCAAAATAAAAACGAAGAAAAAAACTCAAACAACACAAATCTGTACATATACAATTAAAGATTGAGCAACACGAATACCACCGAAAAATCGTGGTGAACTCATCATGTGCTCAGGAAAGGTCAGCTGTTTCAGCTCCACAAATGTCACTCGTCATGATACTCCTGTTAAAATCCGTTGATAAAATATACCGGTGAAAAGACATCACACAATATGCCATGGCAAAAAACCAAAACGATTAAAGGCAAATAATAGTATACTAAACACAACTTAGAAACCCAAAGACTTAGCAACACGTATCCCACTAAAACCAAGGGTGGTCTCAGGTCTTCCGGGAGGGTAATCAGATCCCGCTCCACATGTGGCACCCTTTGTGTTGCTCATGCCAGTACTAACCGGATGATAAGTCTAATTCAGTATCCCACATTCAAGGAAAAGAGGACGTGATTATAGTTACGACAAGTGGATCATATCCATAGAACCTAACCGAATGCGGAATTTAAGATATGGCTTTTTATGAAACGGGATAGACACGCCTACTATTGGTATGAGAAACATGGACATATAAAAAATATTTAGTTCTAAATGCAACACTGCAAACTTATGCAAAACAACATGAACCCCTTAAAACAAAACAAGGATTGAGCTCAGTAGCCCCTGAATTTAAGCAATTTCTGTCTTATCGTGAAACCCGTCGTGTTGCTTGTGTCAAGTAAAAAATCAATGACAAATCGCGTTTAGTGATTTCTAAATCAGCGAAAAGATGACGTGAAAGTGGCTACGACAAGTGGACCATATCAGTGGTCATATTTGACACAATTGTTCCATATAAACAACCAAATCATAATGGCGTCCGTAAAACTTGTAAAACGTCCGATGATTTTATTACTAGAAACCTAGAAACCTTTTGTTCTTTAGCTTCCTTCCCTGTACGCAGCAATCCTCTATGGAAGAAATTATGATAAGAAAAACAGCTCCTAGAGTATCGTATCAACTTGGAGATACATACCCTTTAAACAGGCGCGCTGCTTGAATGTTCATACACAGAAATGGACAAGATTCATATTTGAGATTAATAGAAAAATCAATTATTTCTCAATATTTACCGGGAAACGCTTGCAGTAAGAAAGAGCATAACGAGAGTCATCACTGCAGTGTTGTGCGTTATATTTTTATCTTAAGGGTAATAATTAAAATGTTAACTGGGAATTAATACCTGATATTGCCTTTGTTTGTTGCATACTTTATGTGGTTACATATAGCCTCGAACATTCCTCGTGCAGTCGTTATATGTCTAGCATCAAACACCTGAATTTACATTTGAAATACATTTATACTGATTAAAAACTCGAAACAGCTACAGCCTTTTTATAATCACAAATTAATACAATAAGATACATTGAAATATGAAAATATAGTTAACAAGTTTGACTCTTAGGGTGGTTTATCGACTCCGTTAGAAAACCTTTAGACATTTGTTTCTTTCCTATGCGATCAGCAGTTCTATTGTTGGATTTCTAAATCCCAAAGGATACTTATATTGTACGATCCAATGTTAACCAGAATCGTTTATATTTATGCGTTGGAGTGAAATGCAGTTGAAAAATATAGATCTGTCAACTAGCAGATAATAATGGTCGTAATTTTAATAACAAACTGAATGTAAATCAGACAAGACGGGAGGTTTTTATTATAACAATATGAACTTCTATCCAGAGTTCAAATTCGCTGCAAAAGACTGGGAATTCGATTGTTTTTATTTCATTTATCAATAGAATATATGTAGTTCGTTTGTAAAATAATTGTAAAAAGGTAAAAACAGGGGATAACATTACATTTTTAAATGGATATTAACCGGGTTTTTTTAGGTAATGACATTACATTTTTTAAACGGGTATAAACTGGTTTTTTTCAGGATATGATATTACAATGTTTTAACGGGTATAAACTATTTTTTTTTAGGGAATGACATAACATTTTTTTAAAACGGGAATTAACCTGTTTTTTTCTGGAGATGACATAACAGTTTTCAAACTTTTTTTGTCAGTCTAAACGGGTATAAACAGTTTTTTTCTTTCTTTTGAATATTTCATAATTAAATCATTTTTGCTAATAACAAGTTACGTCAAGCACAATTAGACATTATGAGATTGTTTTAAAATTTAGAAATGCATTAATAATAAACATAAGTTTTTTAATGAGTTGGTTATCTCGCTTGGATAACTGGTTACCTGCAGTTTGGACCACTGTATTCTACCTATACACCTTGTTTACCTGTAGTTTAGACCACTGTATTCTACCTATACACCTTGATTACCTGCAGTTTGGACCACTGTATGCTACCTATACACAGTGTTTACCTGCAGTTTGGACCACTGCATTCTACCTATACACCTTGTTAACCTGAAGTTTAGACCACTGTATTCTGCCTAAACACCTTGCTTACCTGCAGTTTGGACCACTGTATTCTACCTATACATCTTGATTACCTGAAGTTTGGACCACTGTATTCTACCTATACACATTGCTTACCTGCAGTTTGGACCACTGTATTCTACCTATACACCTTGATTACCTGCAGATTGGACTACTATATTCAGCCTATATACCTTGCTTACCTGAAGTTTAGACCACTGTATTCTACCTATACACCTTGCTGCATTTCTCCATGCCAGTTTTGCACCATACGTTAGTTCACTCGTTGTCAGTTCGTATTTTCCAGTCTTCTCAATTGCGCTGTAAACTTCACTCAGCCTCGTTTGATGAGCAGGGGTATTTTGCCTGAAGAAAGCAACATATTGTACTGATCCTGAATACACATGACAATTTTGCCACATATTGTACCGATCCTGAATACACATGACAATTTTGCCACATATTGTACCGAACCTGAATACACATGACAATTTTGCCACATATTGTACCGATCCTGAATACAAATGACAATTTTGACACATATTGTACCGATCCTGAATACACATGACAATTTTGCCACATATTGTACCGATCCTGAATACACATGACAATTTTGACACATATTGTACCGATCCTGAATACACATGACAATTTTGCCACATATTGTAACGATCCTGAATACACATGACAATTTTGCCACATATTGTACCGATCCTGAATACACATGACAATTTTGCCACATATTGTACCGATCCCGAATACAAATGACAATTTTGCCACTGGACGTAAAGCTAATAACAATCAATCAACAAATCTTTCTGAATCATTTTTTGGTCGAGATCCGTACATTTAAATTCTATCTTAAATGAAGAAAGAAAGCGAAGATTTGGTTATCTTCTAACATTTTTTTATATTTTTGTAAGAGAAATTTTACGGCGTTTTTGAAATAATTGTGTTGACCGTAAATCGGCAGCCTCGTTTTTTATTTCTAGTGGGGAAATTTAATTTTTATTTAATCCGTGAAGTTATGATAACTATTATGAAATTTTATTCCCAAAACGGCAAGATACAATCGGTGCATAATTAGAATGCATGAATATACATTTCAATACTTTTATTTGTATCTGTTCATCTGTGTATAACATTACTATTTTATATCAGCAACGGTCATTAGTATGCTATTATAGTGTGTCATACTTTATTATTTATAAACCTTCAATTTGTTTTAAAATCTGCTACACCTAAATAGTTTCGCATTGCGTCTAAAAATTACGAAAGATTGACAAGTACATTCTATTAAATAAAACAATCTTTTCCATTTTGACATTTCCTGCTTCCAAGTTGACATTTTTCAAGGTTCCAAATTGATATTTCTCAGGGTCGAAATAGTTCCAAGTTGACATTTATCAGTTCCAAGTTGACGTTTCCCACTTCCGAGTTGACACACCCGACTTTGGCATTTTTACATCCGACTTGAAATTTCTTATGTCCAACTTAGAAAGCGAAATGAGAAATGTCAACTTGGAAATGAGAAATGAAAAGTTTGAAATGAGAAAATTCAATAGAAGACTTTCCCTACCGGTATTTCTTTAAGAAAAAAATCTGTTTGTACGTGTTTTATGAAAAAAAAGAAGACACAGTTTCAAACTATACTCACAAAGCTGTTGTTACTGGACTACAAATTACTACTTATATACATACCGTTTGATGCTCGTAAAATATTGGTCAAAGAAGTCCTTTGCATGAACCAACATCTCTTCTTTTGGTCTAACTGTTCCTTGGGATCTACCGGGCACGCTTGTACCCATGAGTGACCCCAAACACCTATTGTGAGCACATGGAACATTCTAAAAAGATAAAACATTTGACTAAACGTTTTGCTTGTGAACATTAGGAGATCTCATACCATCACATGTAGTTTTTACTAAAATACGGGAAATATTCACGGTAGATTTAGTAGAACATTTTACCCTAGAATGTGAAAACGTAACATCAAGACAGCGCACGTACGAAACTTTTGAAAAAAATGCTAAGTCATTTAGTCAAGTTTACTGCTTCTAGGTTGAAGACGCAGCAAGGCTAACAGTCTTAAAAGTCAAATCCGGGGCTCTTTTCACAAAAAAATCTTGCGACAAAAATTGATCGCGAGTTATACTGAAATGTTCATGACTTACGAGTATTTTTTCTCGCAAGAGTTTTTGTGAAATGAGTCACCGGATAAAAGACAAACAGAAACAGAGAACGAAAAGCTAAAAAAAAGAAAGAAAAAAATCACAACACAACAGGTTTGCTGGCTATATTTAGTTGTTAGGTATGTAAAAAAAAAACTATATTATTTTTTTTAACTCATTGATCATTGCAATTTTTTTCGAGTTTATAATACGTATCCACATACATGTAATACTTCGTTTTATGGAAAAAAGTTTTGAAATGCGTACACATATCTACCTCATTAAAGTATTAAAAAAATAATATGTTTTTGCTTTTTTTTTTTTACTAATTTGTATATATTGCATACTAGTATAAATTCAAGCAACATTTACTTATATCCGTATTTTAAATCGCCTACGTCAAATAAACCTTTGAAAATCACATTTTGATATATCAATTAACATGTTTCATCATTTTAATGTATCATCTAAATTTATTTTTCGCTAATTATACTTCATGTATTAATTCATGAAGTATGAAGAAGATTAAAAAAACTTTGATCAAGGAAATATAATAAATGACTCATGTACGATTAAATTTACTTACCTCAATAGATTTTGAATGGAGAGTATCTGTAAATACAAGTTTGCTATCAGCAATATTTTTCAGTTTAACATATCGCTTTTGTTGAGCTGGAGAATTATGCGCCATGCCTTCTTTTCTCTGCATCGACGGACTAACTATAATTCCTTTTGAGTCTCGTCTCTCCTCGAGATTCTCTGCTCCATTAACCCTGCCATTCGTTATTACATTTAACTGACTATCAGTAGAATGGTTTTTAACTGTATTATTATCAATGGTGTCAACTTCATTATTTATTTGTGAATTATTTATGGTTTTTAACGAGTTGTTGTTCACTGTCTTCTTTGATTCACGTACAATGACAAGTGGGCCACCATTGGCAGTTACAGAAGTTACATGCTTTGCATTTTCTCCGTCTGTTTGAGATTCTGCATCGTTCTGAACTTTCAAGCTACTACTATGATCTACCGGACATACGAAACAAGTTTGATCCATTTGATCATTATCTATCTTTTCTTTTTCTTGTTTTTGTTTATTCCGTTTTGGACTTATATTGCCGCTGCGACTTTGTCTTAAGGGTGTTCGTCCTGAAGGGGACTGAGATCTTCCGAACGTTCGTCTCAGACGAGAGACAAATGATTCATTATTTGCAACAGGTTTTGTAATTCTTGTTGTGTGTGGAGTGCCGTTTTCTAGAAAAGTAGTGTGTAGGTATGATGTGTATCCTTCAGGTCCCTTTAGTAATAAGGATACGGGTGTTTCTTGTGGTAAAGATTTCAGTAAATCTACACATTTTTCATACACCATATCACTTAAGTCCATATCATTTACACGTACTATGACGTCACCTATACGTATCAAACCACATTTTTCAGCCATTCCTCCAGAAACGATTGCCGAAATAACCACATGTGGTTTTTCGGACCTAGGCTGGATCAAAAACCCAAGACCTGTGTCACTTTTCTTGACGATTTTTACACGAATCATGTTAGAATTGTCAGTTTCCATTCTCGTTTTATCGACTCTTAAACTGAGAAACATATGTATAATGAACAATAAACTCTCTCTCTCCTTCACTATCCTGTCGTTTGAGTTCTAAATTCTGAAAATTAAGATGATAATAAAGCTGTAAATTACTCAGTAATTGAGATACATCCATGATTCGAATCTAGAAAGAAACATCTAGGCATTTCATTGTCAAGATAAATAAAAGAAGATCTTTGGTATTTTCGTGAATTGGACATACAGAATTCAAAATATATAAAACAAACTTAGAGATCACCATCAATACGATCAACTACTATAAACAAATGCCCCCATCAGTATGACAGGCGGCAAAATACATTTACAAATAAAACAACGCAAATTAATACCTTCAAAAGTATCGAACCAATTACTGAAAGCAAGTCCAATGGCCTGTGCAATTATTTTTTAGCGTTATACTTTTAAGTATAAATGGTCTATAATAGCAGAGGGGGATTTTTGTGTGCAAGTTGTTTTAAGCCACCACAGGTTGTGCCGGTACCAAGTCACACCATGTGGACCATATGTTGTACGTTGTTGTTTGTCTTTGTTTGTACGTCGGGGAAGTTGGGTGTTGGTAGTTGGTGTGATCTCTTGTACTGTCAGATACTTTTGATAATTCCTGTTATCCTTCTGGTGTATTATCAAAAAACTAAATCAGCTGATATGCCTGAAGTATTTATAAATGTTATTAACAAAAAGGTCGTTTTGACATATACACAATAATATAGAAATAAAGAGATGTTGTATGATTGCCAATGAGACTACTTTCCACTAGAGTTCCAATGACGAAGATTCAATCAATTAAAGGTCAACATACGGCCTTCAACAATGAGAAAAACTCATACCGTATAGTCAGTTACTGTAATTCTGTCCGTCTTTCCAGATAACATATGAAATTGAACTAAAACTTAATTAGTACCATCATCAAGCAAATATAAACTCAGGCGGTTTTGATGTTCTGTTTCGACCCTTCAGGCTTTTATCTTCTAAAATGTTATAATATTTCGATTTTTTAAACTTTTGGTCATGAACACTGGTATACCTGATGAATTTTGTTCCACGAACATGTGTCTTGTGAATGGAAATCTGTGTTTTATTGTTTTTTGTAACAGGTTTCATGAAAAAATTCATTTTTGAAAATCTGATACTTTACTTTAAATACATGCATGCTATTAGAAACGTTCATTCAATTAGAAGAAGCTATAGCAGATCATCACTATCTTGGAATGGAATTTAACAAGAGTTAAGGAAAAGTTCTCTCGTCTGTAATGAATTTTTCTATATAAAAATTACCGTGAAATGTTCTTATAGTGGGAGATCGTCTCGTCGGTCAGCGTGTCGATCTAGTACAAAGCAGGGTTCCTATTAATATCGCATTAACATGTTGTCGTCCTGAATATATGAATTTCATTTGCCATTTGACGTTAAAAAGCCATCCATTATCATTTTATATCAAGGTCGCGGACAACGATCACTTTATAAACGTTAATCTTGTCAGGGTAAATTTAGGTGGATATCTATCATTAGATTATCAAAAAAAATCTTAATTGTTTAGAGAGAATTTGTCGTCTAAATATATAAGGGTGTTTTATTAAAATATTTCTGCGATAACAGGTGCACAGTTGAAACCTACAGGAAAACCATCACGTGACAGTCTATATCAAATCAATATAGAATAAGAGGATGTGGTATGATAGCCAATGAGGCAACTCTCCACAAGAGACCAAATGATATAGAAGATAACAACTATAGGTCACCATACGGCCTTCAACAATGAGTAAAACCCATACGGCAAAGTCAGCTATATAAGGCCCCGAAATGACAAATGTAAAACAATTCAAACGAGAAAAATAACGGCCTGGTTTATGAACAATACAATGAACGAAAAACAAATATGATATACAGCAACAAACGCCAACCATTGTTTTACAGGCTTCTGACTTGAGATAGGCACATACATAATGTGGCGGGGTTAAACATGTTTGAAGATGCAAAACCCTCACCCTAACCTGGGACAATGGTGAAACGTTACAACACAAGAACAAACTATGCAAAACATTAAACGAAAAACAAATATGAGAAACAGCAAAAAACGACAACCCTTCAATTAAAGGCTCATGACTTGGGACATGCCCATTTAGAATGTTGCGGGGTTAAACTAGTTTGCCGGCGCCAAACCCTCTCCCTAACCTGGGACAGTGGTGTAACAGTACAACATAAGAACCAACTATACAAATCAATTGAAAATGGCTGAACTCATCAGATCGATAGAAAGCAGAAAAACAAATAGCAAAGCATCCCCAACATATGTGAGAACTTCAAAACATTTAGAGACGATCGAACATATGTGAGAACTTCAAAACATTTAGAGACGATCGTACATAACATGAACTTCAAAAGATTTATAAATTATCGTACATTTGAGATACTGACAACATTTAAAGACGGTCGTACTGATATGATTATTATTAAACATTCATAGACGATCGCATATATTTTATGACTTTCAAGACTCAATGGAGGTTGTGTACATGAACAGATAATCGTGAATGCGTCGTCTCATCATATATTAACAGTGTTCTAGTCTAGTGCTAATCTAATTAAATAGATAATATTTTTTTTTGAATAGTTCAGATGTATATGTAACAGTAAATTTGGTCCGGTAGTAAAATTTGTCCGCCAGACATTTTTTCCTAGTTAATCGAGTCCATGACCATTATTTTACTAGGAATGTAAGTCCCAGGACAAATGTTCCTAGGAAAATAAGTCCATAGCTAGTAAAATATGTCTGGCACTTATTTTCCTAGGAAAAATTGACTTAAGACTTGTTTTTCTAGTAATTTTTATTATATTATAAAAATTATTGAAAATAAAAAAAAAGCATATTTTCTTAGTTAAGATTGGAAAGTTTCATTAATTTTTCCCTACTAAAATAAAGGACATGGACGTTATAACCTAGGCATGTTAATGACATGGACATGATCTCCTAGGAAAATTATTCCGGTGACAAAAATTTTATTAAAATATTAATACACAACTCTAAAACAATATTAAAACATAACATTTAAATTTACCTTTTAAAATAAAGCGCATGGACGTTTTTACCTAGGAATATTAATGACATGGACATGATTTCCTAGGAAAATTAGTCTGGGGACATGAGTTTCATTGAAATACTAATGCACAACTCTTTAACACTATTGAAACATAAAAATTGAATTTTCACTGTTTACATGTAAAATAATTTGTTTCATTAAAATTTTCTTTTTAAAAAAAAGGACATGGACTTTTTTAACTAGGATTATAATGACATGGACATGCTTTCCTAGGAAAATTAGTCTGGGGACATAAATTTTATTAAAAAAATTGATACACAACTCTTAAACAATATCAAAACATAACATTTATATTTACCTTTTAAAATAAAGGGCATGGACGTTTTTACCTAGGAATATTAATGACATGGACATGATTTCCTAGGAAAATTAGTCTGGGGACATGAGTTTCATTGAAATACTAATGCACAACTCTTTAACACTATTGAAACATAAAAATTGAATTTTCACTGTTTACATGTAAAATAATTTGTTTCATTAAAATTTTCCTTTTAAAAAAAAGGACATGGACTTTTTTAACTAGGAATAATAATGACATGGACATGATTTCCTAGGAAAATTAGTCTGGGGACATAAATTTTATTAAAAAAATTGATACACAACTCTTAAACAATATCAAAACATAACATTTATATTTACCTTTTAAAATAAAGCGCATGGACATGATTTCCTAGGAATATTAATGACATGGACATGATTTCCTAGGAAAATTAGTCTGGGGACATGAATTTCATTCAAATATTAATTCACAACTCTTTAACAATATTAAAACATAAAAATTGAATTTCCATTGTTTACATGTAAATAATTTGTTTCATTAAAATGTTCCTTTTAAAATAAAGGACATGGACGTTTTTACCTAGGAATATTAATGACACGGACATGATTTCCTAGTAAATTAGTCTGGGGCATACATTTTATTAAAAATATAAATACACAACTCTTAAACAATATTAAAACTTATCATTTAAATTTCCATTGTTTAAATGTGAATGATTTGATTCATTAATATTTTTTCCTATAAAAAAAGGAAATGGACGTTTTTACCTAGGAATATTAATGACATGGACTTGAATTCCTAGGAAAATTAGTCTGGAGACATAAATTACTAACATCGGACAAAAATTACTAGTAAATTCTGTAACCATGGACTTTTTATACTAGTAATATGTGTCCGCCCGGACATATTTTACCAGGACAAATTTATCTCTTACATATATACATGTAATAATTGCTATAGCAAGTGACGTTTGAAAATATTATTCTTTTATGTGTATGATATAATATTAAAACTAAAACATAAAGAAAGTTATCTTAATAGCTTTGCTATCAAAATGCTGTGTAATTAAAGTAATTAAAATGCTATACTTTTGATACTCATAAATACGCCTATTTTTGAAAACAAGCAAGCAAAGCATCAATAACTCTTTGATACTGTATTATTACATATCATTTCACTTTTCCTGAGTCATGTGTGTTGTTAAGTTATTTCTTATCTTTTCAAATCTAATTCGTTTCATGAGAGACCAACTCAACGACACAAAACCAAAAACACTTTGAGAGGTAAACATTTGTTTCACAAAACACTTTGAGAGGTAAACATTTGTTTCACAAAACACTTTGAGAGGTAAACATTTGTTTCACAAAACACTTTGAGAGGTAAACATTTGGTCCTAAAAACACTTTGAGGGGTAAACATTTGGTCCTCAAAACACTGGTGTGTCTACAATATTTTAGGTCCTAAATCGCCAGAGTATAAACTAAATCAAACAGAAACCTACAAAAATCTGCCCAAACATCAAACTCTTCAAATAGTGTCCCTTTTCAAATCATTTTATACGTTATCGTGCCTATTAAGATTAGCATCCTCATGACTGGAACACTAAATACATGCGGCGACGCTTTCACGATTGTCCGACGTGATTAGGTGGGGAAAGTGAGAGGGGCGGGGTCAGAAAGT